AGACCAACCATCCGAAGATGAGAATTCTTTTTCAGGTTTATAATCGAAAGCATATACCTGACTAATGGATTCTTTTCAAATAAATAAATTTAAATTAAAGTTTTATCGTGAAAAATAACCTATATGAAAAAAGAATAATTAAACCATATACCGATACATGTTAACTTTTGTATTGTATCAAAAACATCCATCGAGTCTTGTTCGAGTTGTATGAAAAATGAGTAAATTTTAAAATCACGACACCGAATAATTAAAGGCCATAATTTAGAGTCCGTAGTGCACGAACGACGTTCGACAGTATGAATAATTGGATAAGGGATCTAAATTTCAATTATTTAGTATGTCAATTTCTTTAGATATGAATTTACTACTTGAATAAAATGCATTGTTATATAAAACCGTCAGTTTTGATCTTATTTATAATAAATTATGATCTTTATAGAGACACCTTTAGCAAAATATTCATCCAAAAATATATTATAGTTTATAAAGAATAAATACCCATATTTCGTCTTTATGATCCGGTTGTATAAAAATCGTTTGGTGCGTTGTCAAATGGAGAGTACCAACTGTAGTAACCTGTCCTCTTTCAAGAGTAACATTTTCAACCTATGTATAAGACATAACTATTTAAAATGAATTAAGCTCATAATATAGAATAGAGACGTTTCGAGAATTTTTTCTCAAAAGCGAACCTTTGTGATCTTTAAAAAGTCCATGTTTCCATTGTTAGAATCGGCGGTGGTAAACAACGGTGCTTTGTGTCGACCAATCGCCTTACGGACTAACTTTTTAAGCTTAAAGCGCTTCAACTTGACAATATTATTATTTTTTTTTCTTTTTTAGTTGACAAGCATGTAATATGATTTAAACAAGAAGTTGTAGGTAGATATTGATTAATATTCGATACAGTATTTTAGACAAAAATGCATAAGTATCCAATTATATTGTGCATATATGAATGGGTGTTCTTTTTGATTTACTTAAAAATAATTTTGTGACTAATAATTTTTAATTAAATCATAGCTATATAATTATATATTTTTATAAATGATTTAACCAAAATGTACTGTTTATGCTTTTAACTAAATAATTCTTATCCTCTAAATAAGACGTATAATAATATATATACGTATACAAACATGTACGTACATGTGGTTAACTGTTAACATTTTAGTATCATAGGCGCATTTTACGTATAATATATATACGTATACGGTATATATATCGATATATATTGAATTATATGCTATAACTTACATATACATAGTATATGCAAGTTATAAATCATTAGCGTTGGTTTACCTCGAGTTAAAATCTTCGCTATATTAAGAACCATGATAATGAGTTTGAACTATGTCAAATTTATTATTAGCTTAGCTTATTAAAGCTCGACCAGCTTGTATATTAACTATACGTATACGTATATATAAATTTGTCCGGAGCATAGCGGAGGGTGCTCAATTTCTACACAAAGTGATGCACAAGTTACGTTTTTGATGTTTTAAAAGTATCGTTCTTGACACTTCCATAGTAAAAATATCAAAAGCGTAACTTTGAATTTTCTGTCTGTCTCCACTTGCAGATTTGTGTAACATAACGAATCGATTTAAACCGTAAGGTTTTAGTCAGCTGGCTAAGCCAGCCAATTACATTATATTGGCTGGCTTAGCCGCGACTGCCATAGCCGGCTTAAATCACTTGAAATTTGCGTGGAAAGAAATTGGGGCACCCTCTCGATCAATGGCAATATCGGAATCAATTTGATTAAAAAATGATGAGATCCTATAAAACTGCTAAACAGGTTTGATTCTACTGATTTAGTAACAGTATTCTGGGTAGTGATACAAATCGAAAATCGAAAAATCGATTAAAATCGATTAGTTGATTTAGTTGACAACTAATTGATTGAAAAATTTTTGCTAACTTTTATTAAATCAAATAAAAATAAAAAAAAAATAAATAAAATCGAATAATTAAAAGTTGACAACTAATTGATTGCAAAATTTGTATTACTAATTAAAAGTTAACAACTAATCAATTGCAAAATTTGTATTACTAATTCTAGGTATTACAGTATTACTTATTGTTTG